CCTCTAAAAATAGCACGTGGTAACCCTTTCCTCAGCCTTCAGGAGAGCCACGAGGAGCAGCTCCTGAACATGTGGTCCCAGCAGCACTGCCAGGCTCAGGGCCTGGGTCATAGGGCCCATTTCTGGGAGGGAAGAGTCCTGAGAGAGTTTGGTCTGTTTATTGATGACTTTAGGGACAGGAATGTGAAGATTAGATCAGAGACACATTTCTGGTGTGGTCCTTTGTGCACACCTTAACTCCTCCTTGCTGCTTTGGCTCTGCTCTTTTATCTGCTGTACATCAACTGATCTCACCTTGCACCCTTGTTTGTTTGTGGTCTACATGACTAACACCCTAAGACTCCAGTGGCACTTGTAACTCTTTCAGAGTTCCTTAATCCACACAGCAGGAAGGAACAACCTGTGGCACCTCATCAAGAACTCTGTTCCCAACTCATCCAACTATCCCACACCAACACAACTTGGCTCACCTGAGACACAAGCACAGAACCAACAGTTTCAGACTACCTGAGATCCCATCCTGTTTCAGGGGGTGCTCAGTCCCTGAGGAAGGCCCTGAGCACAGTTCAAACAGACATGTTGGTTCTCTCTAAACTGAACTGGTTTAGTGCTTATAAGGTGTCTGGAAGTGATTAAGTGGCATCTGGAAGTGTTTAAGAGGTGTCTGGAGGCACTGGAGGATATGGGTTAGGGTATAGGGGTTACAGCAGTGACAGGTTAAAGGTGAAAGGTTAGAGTTCTCTTCCAACCTTGATGGTTCTATTCTACTCTATGGTTTAGGGGTTTCAGCAGTGACAGGTTAAAGGTTAGACCTGATGATCTTAGAGTTCTCTTCCAACCAGGATGGTTCTATTCTATTCCATGGCTTAGGGGTTACAGCAGTGACACGTTACTGTTGGACTCAATGACCTCAGAGGTCTCCTCCAACCTCGATGGTTCTATTCTATTCCATTCCGTTCCAACCTGTTCTATGGTTTAGGGGTTACAGCACTGGCAGGTCAGTGTTGGACTCGATGATCCTCGAGGTCTCCTCCAACCCTGATGATTCTGTGACCTCCTCAATAAAAACAGAGGTCCTTGATGGACTGAAACATCACCACATTAACAGTGAGGGGATAAAACATAAAGAAATCACCTCTTATTGCTCTCCTGCTCCTCTTCAGGCAACGACTTGTGCCTCTTCCTCGCCTGTTCCTCCGACAACCACCTCTTCCTCTTCCAGCCCTTGCGGTGATCCGAGCCGAGGTTCACACTCTGCACCACGGCCTCGATGACATCCGTGATGGTGTCAGGGCCCAGGTGCAGGGGGCTGCTGCCCTGCTCCCTGCTGTCCAGCTCCTGGCCCACGAGCCTGGCAGCCTGGAAGGCCTGCATGGACACCACAGCCTGCAGCGGGTACTTGCGCGGCCTCCCCGGCCGACGCTTCACGAAGTTGTTTCCCGTACGCGACTGTCTCTGAAGCTTCTTGGCTTTCAAGATCTTATTGACGTGGTCCAGATTTTTTTTTGTAGCCAAGATCTTGTTATAATTGCACATTTTCCTCGCCTGGCGCTGCATGGCCTCCACCACACTCCTCTTGAGGTGCCGTGGGGAGTAGGTGCTGGGCAGCCTGTCCGGCAGGAGGGACATGCCGTCGCTGCTGGGCATGGCTGGAGGCCCCAGGCTGTCCTGTTTCCCCACAGCTCTCTCCCTCGAGTGGTTCCGAGCGGGACTCGCCGACGGGGGGACAGACACGTTGGCCATGACAGCTTCCAGGGTCTTGTCCAGGGTGGCTTGGCTGTCCTGCTGAGCCATGCGTTGTAGTAGGGTGTCCACGGAGTCCTCGGCGGCTGGAGACAGCCGCGTGCCCCGGGTGGGCACCCCAACCCCTGCAAAACACACACAGAGCTCAGGCAGCTGCACACACCTTCAGGGAAGGGTGGAATGAAACCATGAGGGTCAACAAGGCCAAGTGCCAGTCCTACACTTTGGCTATACAATCACACCCCGCAGGGCTAGAGGACGGAGGAAGACTGTTGGCGTGGAGAAGGACCTGGGGGTGTTGGTGACAGTGGTGGCACGAGCCCAGGTGTGCCCAGGTGTGCCAAAAGGCCAATGGCACCTGGCCTGGATCAGCACAGTGTGGCAGCAGGACTAGGGCAGTGATTGTCCTTCTGTGCTGGGCACTGGTGAGGTCACACCTCGAGTGCTGTGCTCAGTTCTAGGCCCTCAACACTGAGGGGCTGGAGCAGGTCCAGAGAAGGAACAGAGCTGGGGAAGGGGCTGGAGCACAAGGCCTGTGAGGAGAGGCTGAGGGAGCTGGGGGTGTTCACCTGGAGAAGAGAAGGCTCAGGGGAGACCTTAGCACCCTGTGCAACTCCCTGAGAGGAGGTTGTAGCCAGGTGGGATCAGGCTCTGCTCCCAGGGAACTAGTGACAGGATGAGATGACATAAGCCTCAAGCTGCACCAGGGGATATTTAGGTTAGACATTAGGAAGAATTCCTTCCTGGATAGGGTTGTCAGGCACTAGAATGTGCTGCCCAGGGAGGTGGTGGAGTCACCACCCCTGGAGGGGTTTAAGGACAGACTGGACGTGGCATTTAGTGCTCTGGTCTGGTTGACAGGGTGGTGTTAGGTCACAGGTTGGACCTGATGGTCTCAGAGGACTTTTCCAACCCAAGTGATTCTGTGAAACACAACAGCTGGATAAACTGACAGCCTTTTGTGTCCTGTGATTGCCCAGAACATCCAGTGACAACACACTGATTTCCATAACACGGACAAGGACCCAGTGATGGAACTAGGTGACATTTTATAGCACCAGTTTGAACACACAGTTATTTCCTCTTTGTTCACACTCAGATCCTCATTTCCAACAGCAAAGAGCAATGAGGGTTCATACAATCCAAACTCCTCAAGTTTCTTCTATTCAACGCTAAGAACACAAAACCTTCTGTGCAGACAAAAATTCAGCCCTGATAAAACACTGAGCAACATCTGAAACGTTTCGAAACTAATTTTTCCTCTCTTTCATAGCTTGGAAGTATTGAAACAACCTTTTCATTGCTCTTGCAGTTTCTTTCCCAAACAGACAAACCTGCTGATGACAGAAGTGATTGGATAAAGGCAAATCAAAAGTGTCTGGGAAAAGAGAAAGGCTAATTTACACAGGAAGGAAATTTAGAGCTCACTTTTAAAACTGTTCTGTGCTTTAAAGCTGCAGAATGATGCTTGGAAAAAAAAAAAAAAGAATTTCCAGGTCAACCCATGTAGATTATGCTGCATTAAAAAGGGATTTGTTCCAAACTAAGAGCTTCCCAAAGCTGCCCTGCTGCTCCTCGGTGATAACACTCCACCAGAGAATCCCTGCTCTCTCTGGAACCAGACGGATTCTGCCCTCTCCGAGATGCACAACTGCCCATTAGCATTTGCAAAATGCTCCTGTGATCGTGTTTCCAGGTCAACCCATGTAGATTATGCTGCATTAAAAAGGGATTTGTTCCAAACTAAGAGCTTCCCAAAGCTGCCCTGCTGCTCCTCGGTGATAACACTCCACCAGAGAATCCCTGCTCTCTCTGGAACCAGACGGATTCTGCCCTCTCCGAGATGCACAACTGCCCATTAGCATTTGCAAAATGCTCCTGTGATCGTGGCCAGTGATTTAGATCTGCTGATTGCTGAACCCAGCAGGGCTCAGGCTGGAGGCTGAGCAGAGCATCCTGCTGCCCAGGGAGTTGCCTAAGACAAGATGTGTTTCGAGAGCATTTGGCAGGAGGGAGATGATGTGTTAGTTGACAGAGATAAAGCACAGCCAGTTTGAAGTATTTCCTAGCCCCAGTGCTTACTAGTCTGAGTGAGGAAATATGTTCCTCACTAAGATTCCCAACTCAGGGATTCTAAGTGCCAATGAAAAGGTGTTGCAGGGCAGAGTCAGTGTAACAAGTTCTAAAAATCCTCCTCTGGACAATGTTCTTCCAGGTGGCAAAGGCCAAGAGCAGTAAACCTGGGAGGGCCTGAGCTAACTGTGAGCCCCTGGATCATTGAGCACCCCAACAACTCCCAAGCAACCACAAGGTTTTACACTTCAGCTTCCCATGTCAGCTGAAATAACAAAGACAAACCACCTTTTGTTTCCTTACGACCTTTAGACACACATGGGCTGGAGCTGAGGGCCCACACAGGACCCACCAGTGCTCACCAAACCCTCCCACCATGGCTAATGGATGTCCTGGAACTGCTGCTGCTGCTGGGAAAGTGATCCAAAGGGATGGAGATGCAAAGGCTCTGATCCCACAACAGCTGCAGCTCTCTGACAAACACACTGAAATCCCACATGCATTCCAGATCCATGGAAAATACAACAATGACTGTTCTTTTCACTGCATCATCACTCAGTGGCTTTGAAGCTGATAAACTTGTGATTCATGTCATTCCAATGCTCCTGCACAAAGTGCTCCTGAGCTTTTAACACTTCCCATTCCCAGGTCCTCACTGCAGCTTCCCTTCCCGGGAGTGAGTACAAGGAGGTGAATGAGGCAGGGAAAAGGGAGATTCCTCCTCACTGCAGGACTTTCTGCAGCAAATGCTGAATGCAGCATCTGTCGCAAACATCTGGTTAAAGGGGGGAGGAAAGAGCAGTTTTGGCACATCCTTCCTAGATGGAAATCAGAAGTGTTTTGTAAGTCCCAATCCTAGGGATTTACTAGGTATTTGCAGTCAACTTGTGTGTCTAAGAATGGCTGAGCTGTGCTAACAGGAGTGTTTTACAACTGAGCTTCTCACAAAATGGGTCAACGTGACAGATTTTCTTCTCTCTGAGCCAAGGAAGCTCAAATCCCATTTTCACAGCATCATGGAGTGGTTGGGGTTGGAGGGGCCCTAGAATTCATCTCATTCCAATCCTTGCCATGGGCAGGGCCACCTTCCACTAGCCCAGGTTGCTCCAAGCTCCACCCAACCTTTCCTGCTGGTAGGGTTTGGGTTCACCACACTGCTGACAACAGGATGGTAACGTGCAGGAAACGAATCGGAGATTTCTCGTTCGATGGACTCGATGAGATGCCACAGACTGCCCAGGCCTTTCAGTGCTTCCATCTCTCTCCCACGACCATTCCTGACCTGCCTAAGGTCACTAGTGGTGACAGGGATGAGTCATTTATCCTCCATTACAAGCCAGGAAGAAAATTCAACAGCACAGTCCATGCTGATCCTCCCCATTACCTATCCCAGGGCAGAACCCCTCTGCCTCCAGAGCAGTGCCAGAGTCAGGCTCTTCCTCAGGGAGGAATTAATCTACTCCTCTAATTCTCTGACGAATTGTAACGTCACAGGTCTTGATTAAAGCACTGAGCTTCTTCAAGCCTCATCTAACCTGGTGAGGAACCAAACCTCCCCTTGCTCCTCCAAGCAGCACCTCCAGTCTCCCTGTTCTACAAGTCCATCCACAGCACTTGTATCTCAAAACGTCAGTGGGAAAAAAACCTTGGGACCTCCACGAGCTGCTGAAGTTTTCCCAGCAGTGCTGTCTGTGTCCCAGCCCCAAAGCCACCAGGATGACTTGCCTGTAGAAGAGGTGCTCTCAGATGCTGATCTCTTCCTGGAGGGGCTGCAGTTTGTGCTCTCCGACTGCCTCTGGGAGGGTTTGTCCTGTGCTGGCAAAGTGCCTGAAAGCAGAGCAGGAAAAAGCACCAAGAAAACATTATTTCAGCCTGGTGGTGACAATACAACACTGAACATTCAAACTGAGGTTAGCTCTAGGAACACTTGTGTGCTCCTATGCATGCAGGGAAGGACAGAAGTGGAAGATGCACGAGGAATGTCTCACAGGCTGATGGCACAGGCAGGACAAGCCATGAGTAAAGCCACAGAATATCATCAACAAACCCCAAACTCCTACTGTCACATGAAAAGTTTGGAAAGGACCTCTGCAGATAACCCAAAGCAACCACTACTCAAACCAGGGTCAGCTGGAACAGGTTCTGTTGGGTTTTCTACCTCTCCAGGGACACAGACTCCACAACCTGCTGCTCCCTCACCCTCAGTGCAAGGATCTTCTTCCTTACAGAACCAGAATTTCCTGTATTCCAGCAGGAGCCCTTTGCCCTCTCCTGCCATGGGCACCACTGTGGCCCCTCTGGCTTCGTTCCATCCAGCACATGGACACAACGCGAAGAGTTTCCTTTGCTCCAGGCTGGCTTATCCCAGCTCCCTCACTCTCTGTGGGTGACTGATCCCAGCTCCCCCAGTCTCTCTGGGTGACTTACCCCAGCTCCCCCAGTCTCTCTGGATGACAGAAGCTCCAATCTCTGGTCACCCCAGTAGTGACCCACCAGTCCCTGTGCCCAGCAGGACAATGCCCTGCTGTGCCCACTGCCCCTCTCAGCCCCTTGTCCCACCATCCAGGGCACTGGGGAGGAGGTGAAACAGCACTGGATCCTGGATCCATCCCTGGGGAACACTGTGAGTGGCTGTTGATCCCATCCCTCTGTGCTGGCAAGTCACCTCCCTCTGGAAAAGCTTTGCCCTTCCCCTCCTGGGCAGAACAGCTTCAGGTGAGACACCAGTGAGTGCAGAAAGCTGAAAAGCTGGAAGAAAATTCTTAAGGCTTTCATATCCTTTAGCTTTGTCCCTTGCTGTGTTGTTTTTCCTTTCCAAGGAAGGATCAGCCACTGTCAGAGCCTTAGGGTTGAACAAGTGAGGATGATGATTATCTACACACAAACCAGTGTTGGATTTAGGCACCTGCCAAGCACATTTCCCTCTGTGTTCTGCGTGCTCAGGGCCTGCTGCTGCTTGCTAAATCCTTAGGTGATGTCATCAGGCAGCAGAAAGAACAATCACCATTCCTTGAGTCAGAACCAACTCTCAGGAGGCTACAGAAACCCCAGAAGTGCTGCAGGGTGATGGGACAAGGCTGGGGACAGCAGCTCTGCTCAGAGCACGAGCAAACACCTTTTTGTTTCCCTTCTGCACATCAGTATTTCCTTACTGTGACCTGGTTTATTTGCCCTAAAACTTAAACTTTAGAGAATCCCAATCAGGCCTGAAAGCAAAGGCTGTGGGTGTTGTTCAAATGTCACAGAAAACTCTGCGTATTGCAAGGATAAAAACACTGAAGTATGAAAAAAAATCAGATGAGTATAAACCCCTCAGGTAAGCAAAACTGCACATGGCAATGTGAGAGGACAATCTGCAGGTCACGGAGAGAGTGAACAACCAAATGCAGGAGGATAAAACCACTCCTGGGTTGTTTCCCTGTGGAATGGTCAGGGGATGAGCTCAGGGCTGCAGGTTGGGGCTGAGCTCCTCCTTCCCTTCCGCCCAGACCACTCGGAGTTCTGCCCAAAATTCCCTCCCTGCCCAGGGCCATGTGTTTCCATGGCTCAGGAGAGATGCCAAGGACTCGAGAGAGGGGATCAGCACCCCGGGACAGGTTCAGCACCCCCACACACACTCAGCATCCCTGGACAGACTCAGCACCCTCAGACACACTCAGCACCCCCACACCCACCCA